CCCACTGGATACGTCTCTGATAGGGTGTCTATAAAACGAAGACCCTTAAGTATTTCTTGATATTCCTCATTTTATTCCGATAAAATAATGAAATAGGTACTTGGCAACTGTTTTATGATGACTTCGAAATACTTTCAATAAGATAATTGAGAAATATTGTAGGCCTTCGTTTTCGTGTCTTCGGTCTTAGTTTTGTAAACACCCATAGGGTGTCTATAAAACAACGGAGGCGGAACGTTTCTGAAAGTGAGGGGGGCATTTAATAAGGCCAAGTATGCGAGCGAAGCGAGCATTTAGGCTGGGGGCCAGGGGCCGCCAAGGGCCCCCGGTGGGGGTGCAGGGGGCGAAGCCCCCTGGAAGCTACGGATATTTTACGAAGTTTGGTGAATTTTATAAGCTATTTTATAGGCATCAAGCTACTGTAATATGATTTAATATTTGTTGTAATTTTCAGTGGCGGATCCAGGAATTCGAAATAGAAGGGCCCAGGGAGGGTACTTTCACAGATAGAAGATCTATACTACATCAGGCCCACTATGGTTGGGGCTGAGGTAAGAAAATTTGTGATTATGGCACCTCTAGATGGCCGGATATTGCACTTCCAGACATAAAATTTGAATATAATTATCTTTATACCTCCATTTTTTTTTATTGAACAATTTAGGAGGGTCGGGTGGGCCGTCTGGGTCCCCTTGAATCCGCCAATGGGTACTTCAGCAGATTGATAATCTATACCACCTCAGCACCACCATGGTTGGGGCTGAGGCAAGAAAATTTGTGATTATGGCACCTCTAGATGACTGGAAATTACACTCTTAGACTTAAAATTTGAATATAAATTTCCTTATCATCTCCATTAAAAATATTGAACAATTTAGCCTCCCCCCTCCCCTTGAACGCGTCACAGATTTCCGAACAAAGTCGAGTCGAGATTGCTTCCACGACCTCAATGATTTTTTTATTATGAGGGTTATCCTTGATATGGGTTCCCCGACGAAAACTTCACTTTTCCCCCCGATGGATAAAAATTACCCTTCTATGTAGCTCGGAAATGATACTCCAACTGTGGCGGGTCCAGGAAGTCGAAATAAAGGGGTTCCAGGGAGAGTCTTGCGCGCGTAAATAGAATGTCCACCCGCCTCAGCCGCACAACTGTTGGGGCTGAGGTAAGAAAAATTATGATTATGGCACTTCTAGATGGCCGGAAATGGCACTCTCAGATTAAAAGTTGAATATACAGACGTCAATCAACATTTGGTTGCTCAACTCAAAAAGAGAACTTGTAATGTTCGTTAGAAAATGAAAAAAAAGCTATATTTTATAATAATAATAATAATAATAATAATAATAATAATAATAATAATAATAATAATAATAATAATAATATTATTTAAATAATAATGACATTGCAGCGTTCGTAAAAATGTTTGTCACTGGTGCTGGGAACAGTCACAAAAGTGGGGGGGAAGGCCCCCCAGTATAGAAAGTGGGTGGGCCAATGGCCCCTGCACCCCCCGCTTCCGCCGCCGTTGCTATAAAACGGAGACCCTTAAAAAATTCACAAACAGACACCCAAAAAAAAATCGCAATTTTGATTTTGTGACAGCTTGGTGTATAATCATCAAAATGAAAAGAAAAAAATAGGGGTCTTCGTTTTTGGGTCTTCGGTCTTCGTTTTGTAGACACCTCTTGGCTAGGCCTATAAAAAAGATGAATAAAAACCGTTAGAAATCAGACCATTAGACTCCTGCACACTCCGACTCGCACCTTCGGCCACACCTGGATTCTCTCGCTCCTCCGATTCGCCGACTGCTATGTAAGACGGAATGTGATTGGCTAAAAGTGTGACCCTTAATTGCGCCAGCTATTTAAAGCGGCATTTTCTAATTTTGATAACGGCGCAATCAATTATGACTCTGATGACGTCATTCTAAGCCTGTGATTGGTTGTAAAACAACATGACGGCACTTTTTATATGATTAACGGACCCCGTTGGCATCATTCTAAGCCTGTAATTGGTTGAAAATGAATGGCAGGACGGCGTTTTTTATTATGATTACGGCGCTTTCATTATGATTACGGCGCTTTTTTTTTTAACAAGTTAACGGCGCTTTCATTATGACCCTGTTGGCGTCATCCTAAACCTGTGATTGGTTGAAAATGAATTGCATTACAGCGCTTTTTATGAAGATAACAGCGTTTTCATTATGATTACGGCGCTTTCATTATGGCCCTGATGGCTAACCATACACGTAAGTTGGCGGTTTACTGTGTGTGGGTACTAATTGCTAAAATACGAAGCTATCTCTTCTAGTTTGAGTGTAGCTTAGCATGAAGTCACGGCTTACCTTTGTTTTCATTCGAATTCTGCCCATGTAAGCAGACAATCACGGCTTACCTTTGTTTTCATTCGAATTCTGCCCATGTAAGCAGACAACAGCATCATTTTGACGGTTGCTAAAGTAGCGTATGTCCCGAACAAACTGAGTAATTCATCTGAACCTGACATCTTTATAGAATCTATAGTACAATTAATGACATAATTGAAGCATGCTTTCTGAATCATTAAATTAATTACCTGGAAAGCTACTCGACACACGTTAGCCGTTGACAAAAGTCGACTATAAAATTTGAAATGCCACTAAATAACATCTTTCTGTTTGATACATATTAGACTAAACAATTTATGCCTCATCTCTCTCATATAACCCTCCTCCTTAGTAATCTTAGAGTATGATTTTTTAAACATTGTATTTTTAAAATCGATATGAATGAAACTTACCCTAAAGTTAACACAAATTGTATCGAATCCCGTGTGCAGTTTCAAGCAAGCTGTGGAACACACGCCGGTTAATCGCAGTGTGCTGATAGTATTTCCGTACATGAAAATAAGAGGATTTAGATTCCGGCTTTATAATTATTGGTTTTTTTTTAACAAATTACCTTGAAACGCCCTCAACGCTAACAGCACTAGTACAGTGTATAGCAAATCGTACACATTTAAAGTTTAATCTTTAGTCGAGTCATGGTGGAGATAAAATGATAATGTATTTTAACTGACTTAACGCAAATAACCCAAATAAACTTGACATAATAATCATTGAAAAAATCAATGTTGTCCCCAACAACAATGTAATAACAAAATAATAAAAATGTAGATAAACCGACGACCCTAAAACATCGAAAGGTTTGCATAAGAAATAAATTAATCATTCATTCATTCCAGGCATTATTTTCAGCCTGCCTTTATTTATCCTTAGGCCACCCAGGCGCGGATCCAGACCTTCGCCCAGTTCGCCCAGGCGATGGTCAGCATGAGAAATAAAAATAAAATGTTGACCATTTTTTCAACAATCATACTTAGTCTACATTCATTGACTCTTATTTTGAACATTACCATTTAGGACATCGTTTAAATCCACACTAGCCTATATCTTACAGTTTTACACTGATTGTACTGTAGGCCCTACCAGAGAGGTAAATTCCCACTACATGGTCTTCCATTTTTATAGCGCATGATACAGAACAAATTTTAAAGCTTGTTCATGCTAGCCAATACAAATTCTTTCCTGTGATCACTAAAAACGAATACTTCTAAAATATGTAAATATACATCAGCACACGTTATACATATGCCTGATAGGCCTACACTAGTTATAACACATAGGCCTAAGCGTGATTTTTTACGCAAATTGTCATATGTCATAAATCAGTTTGCTGTCCCACGCATGTGATAGTTATAGTAAACTCTGAAGACAGCATGTCACTTTTTTGCAATAAAACATTAAAGCAAAACAGGGAGTTTGGAGTTGATTATGCTGTACAATTTCTAATTGACTCCTTCTACTATAGGTTTGTACCCGTGCTTTGATAGAAACCCAACATAACCGTCTATCAATAAAAATCAAACTTGATAATAACCCAATTGAATATTCGTTAGATTAATCAATTTTTCACTATACACGATAATGAAAAAATTAATATGTTCGGGTTTATAACGGCTACAGCTCATGGGTGGATTTATCAAAAATCATCTTAAATTCGTCTTAAATTCATAAATCCCAGGCCGGGCCAGGCCGTTTAAGATACAGAAATATGATATTGTATGTTTCAGTTTTCTTCTTTTTTTAAAAATCATTTTGCAAGCTTTTATAAAGTTTTGTTAAATAATACCACTACACTACTACTATTACTAGTAGTAGTAGCAGCAGTAATAATAATAATAATAATAATAATAATAATAATAATAATAATAATAATAATAATAATAATAATAATAATAATAATAATAATAATAATAATAATGACGATGGTGATAATAATAGATAATAATACTAATAATATTAAAAAGTGAAGAAAATTGTGCTAAAGGCGAAAAAGACTATAGTTAGGCCTAAGTTGTCCTGAATATTAAGTAGATCCCTGATAAAAGATCATGAGAAATTTGTTGGCGCTTCATTTTGACTACATAATGGTGATGATGTGATGATGATGAATTTACTATATGAAAGTGTCATTTCTGGCGGGTCGTGACAAAGTGCGAGCCAGCAAGTCATGCGAGCCAATGTGCGATCCATGCGAGCCAGCAAGCCATGCTAACCATACATTTTTAAATTATTATTTTTTTCACTGAGGAGCTTTGCCTGTGTTTAGTCCAGTCATGCGCAGTACATACACTTTTGGACTTTTTCGAATCGTCGATCCGAAAGTATGCAACGCTGATAGAGTAACTTTATTGCTTCTCTTTTATAACAGAGGCACAGCCGTAAAGACGTGCAACAATAACAAAATCAGTAAAAACTTAATTACTGTGATAAAATATAGTAAGAAAATACTGCGGTAGAACGAAATAGTTAAAATACAGATATACAGATACATACATACAGATATATATATATATATATACATATATACTGTATTTACCTATATATTTATATATATATTATTTTATATATACTTTATTGATTTATATATTTATTTATATATTTATTTATATATTTTTATATTTATTTGTATATTTATATATATATTTATTTGTATATTCATTTATATATATATATATATTGTTACGGCCGAAATTCGCCTGGTTCACTCACTCATCTTTACAGCAACGTCACAGCATTAGGCATGACAATATAACAATAAACTCGAACGACTGCCTTTATATTTTTATGTATCTTTATACAACATCACAGATCCCAGGTCTTGCCTGTCCTGGATCTGAGCACCAACTCTCTCACTTCAATGTTTTCTGCCTATACATAGTAACACCCTAACGACATAAACATGTATCTATCATGGTGGTAAAAAATAATTAATAAGACCTTTCTGCACAAGCATGGTCCGATAATTAATGTGACTGTTTCCACAAGCAAGGTCAGATTTGGCCAGACACTTGTCTGGATTACATAACCTTACTGCCTTTGTGCTGGCTTTTTACCACCATGGTGGATACATGTTTATGTTGTTAGGGTGTTAATATGTATAGGCAGAAAACATTGAAATGAGGTAGTTGGTGCTCAGATCCAGAACAGGCAAGACCTGGGATCTGTGATGTTGAATAAAGATACGTAGAAATATAAAGGCAGTCGTTCGAGTTTATTGTTATATTGTCATGCGTAATGCTGTGACGTTGCTGTAGAGATGAGTGAGTGAACCAGGCGAATTTCGGCCGTAACAATATACATATATATAAATGAATATACAAATAAATATATATATAAATATACAAATAAATATAAAAATATATAAATAAATATATAAATAAATATATAAATCAATAAAGTATATATAAAATAATATATATATAAATATATAGGTAAATACAGTATATATGTATATATATATATATATATCTGTATGTATGTATCTGTATATCTGTATTTTAACAACATCTATCAGCGCTGCATACTTTCGGATCGACGATTCGAAAAAGTCAAAAGTATAAGTACTGCGCATGACTGGACTGCACAGGCAAGGCCGGTGTGTTATTCATTTCCATCTACTAGGCCAAAGAATATAGGCTAGGCCTACGTGTTTTCAAGACTGGATAACCTGCAAAAAAAAATTAAATGTATGGCTCGCATGGCTCGCTGGCTCGCATGACTCGCTGGCTCGCACTTTGGCACTACTCATTTCTGGCCATCAGCCCCAACCATGGTGGGGCTGAGGTGGTTGTGAAATCACGGCTTTGAAGTATGTAAAGTACATACTAAGAGACTGTGTTTATATACTTTGTTTTCTATTGTACATAACACATATTAATAAGACTTCTATGGTTGCAGAAAATCCCTGATAAAAGATCATGAGAAATTTATTGGCGCTTCATTTTGACTATATATTAATGGTGATGTGATGATATTTTAAGCTACTATTAAAAGTGCCATTTCTGGCCATCTAGAGGTACTATTTCCTCAAATTTTTGCAACTCAGCCTCAACCTCATCAAATATCCCCCTCCACCTTTCAAAATAGATCTGACACTGAACTCCATTGAGTCGACACCTGACTCAGAGTATGGCTTAATGGCTGTTACGTGAGGGCACATAAATTTGTTTTTAGGATGTGATCGGTTTTTCATGCCCATTTTTCATGATTATGACTACAGTATTTTGGATAAAGAATATTTTTAAGCAGTGGTGGATTCAAGGACCCCCACCCCCTCCACCCCAGATTTTTTTAATTGGAAAAAAAGAAAATTGAATTTAAAATTTAAGTCTGAGAGTGTAATTTCCGGCCATCTAGAATTGCCCTGATCAAAAATTTTCACCATAGTGGGGCTGAGGTGGGTGGTTCCTCATTCTGTGAAATCCCTCCCTGGGTCACCTCTTTTTCGAATTTCTAAATCTGCCACTGTTTAGTTATTATTGTTAGTCTTACTAATATTTATGATGTGTCTATTTTTCACATTATCCTCTCAAACAGTCCTAAAAACGTTCAGAGTGCAATTCCCCCTAGACCCCACCCGTAGGAAGGTAGATACCCACCCCACTCAGTACTAGGTACCTCGCATAACGGCTCCCACACTTTCAAAATCCTGTCTACGTCCCTGCCTGCTTCCTTTAAGAATAAGTTATATTATGGCCAAGTTGTTATCATAATATAAATTTTAAACTGCAAAATTATTATTAACTAAGACCAATCAGCACACTCTAGGCCTAACATAAAACATGTACATATCAAAATTTTTATGTTTAAACTTTTCTCGTCTGTGCGTGCATAAAACGTAATGTCGTGGAATTTGAATCTAACATGTGTTTATTGATATTGATAAACAATCGAAATTCTCTGTACTACATATGCTAAATATTTACAGAGTGGACTTCCTTATGTTGTGGTCATAGTTATTAGACTGTAATATTATTATTAAAGAAGAATGTTCAATAAACAACATAAAACATACATATCGAAATTATTAGGTTAAAGTTCTCACGTCGCATAAAACGTAATTTCCTAAACTTTAGATATCTGAGATTGACAGTCAACCAAAATTGTCTGTACTACATATGCCAATTAAACGAGAATACTTCCTTGTGATTTAGGAACATATAAATGTATATCGAGCTACGCAAAGCTTAGAAGTCTAAGATTTCCTTATGTCGTGGTCATATTAGACTATAATATCATTAAAAACCATTCAACAAACAACATACAACGTATCAAACTGAATTATTAGGTTAAACTTTTCACTTCGGTGGAAGTAATTTTTTTGGATATATGAGATTTGCATGACATTTGAGAATGTACTGAATATAAAATCTTAAATATTTTACATTTTCAGTAATCTATCAGAAATATAGGGATTGGTTATACTGTCAAGCCTTGAACACTAAAACTGCGATTCCATTTCGATTTATTATAGGTGTTTTTTACATGTTTTTATCTTATTTATTCTTTTTATTTTGAGTTATTCATTAAAACATAAGTTTTGAATTGCTAACTTTTCATTTTTGTTGGTCAATTTTCACGAATTAAATTGCAGTTTATAGAAGCAGTTGACAAGCTTGTGGTCAAAAGAAATCCGATGCAACACACATTGAGAAGTACCCAAAATTGATAAAATAGTAACTAATATGAAACGTATGGTACGCATTGAATTATAATTAACGGCTGTACTCGCTACTATTATCGGATTGTCTATGCCGTTATATCTCTATGTCAATGTCACAGTAAAGATGAAAGGACTCTACGCACGTGCTATGTTTGCGAGCGGAGATGTGCGTCCTTTTGTTTAATTGCCTTGTTACTGTCTCTTATACACATCTAGATGTGTATATAATCCTTCTATACAACTTAGTGCCTATATACTGGAGTGAAATTTAAGTCAGTTTAGAATCTTCCTAACACACTGAGGTAACTCCAGCTC